CTAATGAAAGCTCACAATCAAATCAGAGTGAATTCAGAAGATATTTCGAAGACAGACATCATTATCCCATTCGGTTTGTTCGAATTTCCGTTTATGACCTTCGGCCTTCGGAACGCTGCCCAAACCTTCCAAAGATTCATTGATGAAGTCATTCGAGAATTGGATTCTTGCTATGCATATATCGACGATATTTTGGTAGCCTCATCGTCGGAAGGAGAACACCTGGAACACATAGCAATTCTATTCGATCGTTCGAAGAAATATGGGGTGACAATCAATGTGAGCAAATGTCAGTTTGGTGTTTCCAAAATCGATTTCTTGGGATACAACTTTTCTAGCCGTGGATTGAAACCATTGAAAAAGAAGGTTGAAGCTATTCCAAAATTCCCACAAGCAGGTACGGTGAAGAGCTCCGTAGATTTCTTGGGATGCTCATTTTCTACAGACGTTTCTTTCCGCATATTGCATCGGATCGAGCACCTTTGAACACACTTCTTCAAGGTCGAGCTAAGGGTAACGACAGAATCATCTGGACGGATAAACTCATTCTTGCTTTCAACAGATGTAAGCTGAGTTTAGTTCAAAATACCCTTCTTGCACATCCAGAATCAAGGGCTATGCTTTCATTGGTGACGGATGCATCCGAAACTTCCATGAGAGCTTTTCTACAACAAATAACAGCAGATGGATGGAAACCTCTATCGTTCTTCACTAATAAGTTATCGCCTGCACAGAGGAAGTACAGTTCTTTTGATAGAGAGTTGCTATCATCATATCGTCATATGTTAGAATGTCGTGAACTAATTATACTCACTGATCACAAACCGCTTACATTTGCATTCAAGCAGAAGTCAGACAAAGCTACACCAAGACAGTTTCGCAATTTGGATTTAATCGGCCAATTCTCCACAGACATAAGACACATTCCCGGCAAGGATAATATCGTTGCAGATAGTTTATCACGAGGTTTATCACGTGTAGAAGCGATCTCCCAACCATATGATTTCACAGCTTCAGCTAGATCTCAGCTATTATCCCGTGAATGTGGATGATAGGAATCCTAATTCAATTGATTTGTTACCTTCTGGAGAGTTTTTGCAGTATAATTTTGTAAGAAATCACAGAAACGACAGAACTCTAGACCAAGTGTTTTGTAATATTGATAAAGCTCGACAGCACTGCTGGCAGGATCCGTGATCCAGAGGTAGATGTCTCTCTCCCTCATCGGTAGTAAGGAACCAGAAATCTTAGGAGGAGAGTCCCAAGGCTATCCAAAATTCTGAAAATGAAGACATCCAAAGATTGATTGCTTGAACTGACCAAAATACTTGAACCTAGCTCTAGAATTGTGCGACTGGAACCAAATAATTTGGGAGGAGAGTCCTGAGACTATCCAATATTCTCAAAATAAAGACGACCCAAGAATGAATGCTTGAACTGACCAAAATACTTGTACCTAGCTCTAGAACTGTAGGACTGAAACTGTGAATGCAACGTGAAATCTTGAACCTGAGATGTTCTAATTTTAACCCCAAACTTCGGATCGAAACCAGAAAGTTTTGTTCATAACCTGAGATTTCGATCGTGATCTAGAACCCTGGAACAAATAATCTGACTGAATTTTCAATCTCGAATCATCACGAACCGACTTCCGGGAGCCGAAAAAAGGGACTAACCTTCTTCAAAAAGGGCTGATGTCGTGTCTGACAGGCGTGTTCCCTAATCTTGCAGTGTCGATCAGAAATACTCTACTGGCAAAAACACCGTCGACTTTATTGGTGGCGAAATGGTAGGAGGGGTGCTGAATCCTCGAGGATTCTCTTTCGATACCTGATTATACCAGCAGGACAGCGATCATCCTTTTCCAACAAAAGCTCACCAGGAATTGTCAAAATTCCGGAGAATCTTTCAGACCTCATGAAATTGACAGGAATTGAAGTTTTGACAGATATATAGAATTCGACAAAACTCGTTCATCAAAAATAACCTCGAAACTGACATTTTATCACAATATTTCGACTCACGACAGTACCCATCTGAAATATTGAACCTGCTAACAAAAAAGCACTAATTCACCTGACAACACTGTCACAGCAATGACGGATGACAATCGACACGTTTAACAATCAAAATAACATCAATTACTCTGTCACTTTCTTCTTTAGTTTGTCGTTGTCATTTTTGTGCAAGAGATGCAGAGACTGAAAATCATATACATCTATAAAAATCAATATTTCACCCCCTAGACCTACAGACCAGTATTCGATGGATCCACAATTATATTTGAAATTTTTTTATCCTCAATATACATGTTCTAATTATTTTTCTCTCTCAATACGATGACCAATTTTTGATGAAGAAGTGTTCTGCTCACCAATTTTAAGAGTATATTTCATTCAATTGATAGGAAAACCATCAATTCTCGAATAATAGTGGGCTATATCAAATTTCCTTCCAAATGATAAACTTTCGGCTCAAGCAAATAAATATCATATGAAGAATTATCCAATTATTATAATGAGACATCATTTATGATTATAAAACAAGCCCGAAACTTCCTGACTCAAGAACACAATTTCCCAACTATGACGGACGATCAAATTGACATCGAATTATTTCTCTTGTTCCAATCTAATCAATTTTTGCTTCGATCAACTGCTCAAAGTGGATCTCAAAAACTTGATTTTCTATTCAGGGTCAGGTCAGCTGCTTATGATCAATAAGGCACAGATCCGACCGGTCCTGGAATACTGTTTCCATATTTGGAGTACTCAAACATACCCTGAAACTGTTGGATTTTGTCCAAAAAAGGGAAATTCGTCTTGTGGGTGATGCCTCGCTCACAAACTCACTCACTTTCCTGGAACACCATGAAAGTGGCGATCTGGCTCTATTTCATAGATATTTCCATGGACGATGCTCTTCTGGAATATCAACAATTATACCGTCCTTGCAAAATAGATAATCCAGAAGATTTTGTTCTCAAATCCTTATCGTGTATGTTCAATAGATGTTATTCAATGTTCGTCGTGGCATATAGCCAGGGAAATAGTTGTTTTCTGTTGAATAGACCAAGAAAGAATTGATATTTTCATCACATAGAGAATGCGAATTCTCGAAGTATTACCCTATATACATATTTTTTTTAAGTTCCTAATATTTTATCTGAGAATATTTTTTTCCAATGCAGGATGAATTGCTGTGGTTGAAGGGCTTGTTCAATCATAATGAATGATTTTCATGTTTCGTGAAATAGTTTCGCATAAAACCACTCAGTTCTGGATATCATAATAATTCTGTCTTGCTCTGATAACTCAATTGTGCTCCGTAATACAATGTTGCTTGGTCACACAGTTTCTTGAACGATAATGTGACAGCTTCTTCCCGAATATTCAGAACATCGTGATATGACTGGTGAGAAAAGAACTTTGATAATTCCTAATGAACTACTCGACACTAATTTCGTCGCACACCAAAATGTAGCTCCTGTTATAATGTGAATAACTTTTTTCAGTTTAAAACATTTTGAATTTGGTTCACACTGGTCGATAGCCCAGTCCTTCAGCTATAATCTCGTACTTCATTGAAACATGAGGGTATTTACATAAAATCTCTACATGGTGTTTCCCGACACTGTGCGAAATTTTGGAATATTCAAATGGCTCTCAAATGGTGAAAAAAAAAATGTTTCCTCAACTTCGACAACAGAGGCATGAAGATGATCTCATTACCTCGAGATATTTCGCGAATCAACTTCCTATCTCTCTTATTTACAGGGTGATCTCAAAAACTCAATTTTTTGGTTTTGCAGCCATAACTTTTTTTACGTCAACCGATTTTGGAAATCTTAGGCTCATTTTGAAGATAAAACTCCAAATGGAGAGATCTGAATATCAGAATTGACTCAAGATGGCTATCAAAGATGTAGAGTTTTCTTGAGAGTGACCCAAATCTGGAACGCCCTTCGAATCTTGGTTGGGAGGAGAATTGAATGAAAATCAACTTGTTCTCGGAAAAACAATTCATTCTGGATGCGTCCATATTTTCCTTGCTCTCAGTAGTCAAGAATTATGCGTGAGAAAACACAATTGGAACATGTTCTTGCAAAAACATCAGATCATTTCTACTCTGGAATGCATGGCCCGCCGGAACCAATTCTGATAGTCAGATCTCTTCAACTGAAGTTTCATCTTCAGAATGAGCCTCAGATTCCCAAAATCGGTTGACGTGGAAAAAAGTTATGACTGCAAAATCAAAAAGTTGATTATTTGAGATCACTCTGTAAATAAGAGAGATAGGAAGTTGATTCGCGAAATATCTCGAGGTAATGAGATCATCTTTATGCCTCTGTTGTCGAAGTTGAGAAAACAATTTTCTTCGCCATTTGAGAGCCTTTTGAATATTCCGAAATTTTGCACAGTGTCGGAAAACACCATGTAGAGATTTTATGTAAATACCCTGTTTCAATGAGGTACGAGATTATAGCTGAAGGACTGGGCTATCGAACAGTGAACCAAATTCAAATTGTTCTAAACTGAAAAAAGTTATTCACATTATATCAGGGGCGACATTTTGGTGTGCGACGAAATTAGTGTTGAGTAGTTCATTTGACCCATGTTCCAGATTCAGGCTCAAAGTCTTCCTGGTTCCCTAACAGCATCTCTGCGATCCAATAACCGACTGCGACAAATTTGGCATGTATTTATACAACTAGCAAATCTGTCAGTACCCGATGTATCAGCTATTCAACTGTTGCCAATGCTCTGTCATCCATATATAACAGGGAATATTGAATATCATGAACCAAATATATTACACCTATGCTAATATTGGATTAATCGATCACGTCATCGTTTATTGCCATAACATTTTTAAATTGCTCTAGTTCGGAAATATGAGTGGTTAGAATCATCTAATAGTCATTCTACGTTGCAGAAACATGGGACTATCGACAAATGAAGTAATTTGAAGAAAATTATCAGAATTGAACTTCCTCATTCCTAGGAATCTCTTCCAATTTCCTGGTACAGTATGAAAGTATAACCAGCTTTGATGATCTGAAAAAGTACGTATATCAAAACATAGCGAGCACTCCTATCCAGATTTCAGACTTACGCTCACGAACAGTTCGATGTCAATCACTCGAATACCGGCGATAGTAAGTACTAATGGTCTCTGCACTCTCATCATCATTATCGAAAGACTCCTCACCACTTCAGGACTTTGATCGTACCAGTTACTTTTGAATATTCTCACGCTCAAATGTGTGCTCTAGAAATAGAATATCGAATATTAGAAAGCAAACTTCTTCATCACCAGGTTCGTACGGGATGGAATTCTTGTATTTCAGTTGTCCAAAACATGCAACAGTATTATCACTGATGTATATGGAATGTATACATATATTTTTTTTGTAAAATTTATATATCGCTACTGTAAAGTTAGGAACCAACTCCCCAGTAGTCGAAACTTGTTTAGGAAGAGCAGAACCTACATCTTGAAGTGGAATCCATGCATTATATATGATTGTACAAATTATCAAATCTTTGGATTATACTAGATATCTAGGTATGCTCACTGACACATTGATATCGCATATCAATATCATCAAATTACAAGAAGAGAAGTATTTATTTTATTTTTGTTTGGCCGTTACTTGATGGAAATTCATGAAGGATGTAATGAATGTTGTGAGAACCGTTCTTGAAGTTGATTGTATTTGAAGTAACGCATGTTTGTGTACAAGGTGTCCCAAATTGCTGGATTCATGTAGTTTTTCCCATTGCCAAAAAAGGTATAGACAAACTGACCCAGGAATCTAGAGCTCGATTTTTGTGAACATTGATGGCTGAAACCTGTACTTCGATATATCGAACCGTTCCCAAGATATAGGCAGAAATTAACATTCGACAGATTCGAAAGAAAAAAATACATTATATCATTATTTTTCAATGCTTTATAGGAAATTTCTCACAAAGATTGGAATACGTCTGCCAAATGAGAATATATCGCTCATTAATTATTGTTTGATATCGAAGCAAACAAGTATCTCATAATATATTACCTTCTCAACGAGGTCTCTTCGAGAATGTGAGAATATCCCAAATTCTCAGATTCTCCAGGCCTGCTATCATTCATTGAGGTGATTCGAATTTCAAAAACGACTATAAGGCTTTTTTTCTCCAAAATTCAAATGACCTTCCGATTCAGGCAAAGCTGAAGAACCCTCATACTACATTTCAACGCAATACCTGATATGAAGGGTGTCAGTAAATATACGGCCAAAATCAATATTTGAGTTTTTCAATTCACCCTGTATAAACTTCTTAGGATTTTATATAACCAGTGGAGTGGTCATTTCATGTAGTGTAGCCCACTCTTCTGAACTTCCGAATAGATTTCGAAGAGAATGGGAAAATAAGTAACATGTATGCTGATGGCAGCTTTTTATCAGAGAGCAAATAAGTGAGTCCGGTTCTATGTACTCAACTGAGAAATTCTAGTATAGGGGGCGCCACTCAATCAACTCAAAATGTATATAATGAAGAGATGAATTGGGAATATTGGGAGTTTTACTGACAGAACATTCCTAAATAATAACTACAATTATTCGACTGCATTGCTGAGACACATGATATGATGAATTGAACCATTTGAGAATCAGAAACATTTTATTTCGTCAACAAACTGATGAAACTCCGAGATAACTGTCAAGGACCGCACATTATCACCAAACCTTGCAGGTCGTCTTTGTAGAATGGAGTGCAGTTGAAATGATGACATATATAACCGTAGTTCTTGATAATTATGTCACACACTGAATGATCAGTTATTCATAACTGTTACGATGAGTAGGTTTCGAACAAAGACGAAGGGTTGAACAGATGTTTAATCAGCATCAAAAAATAAAACTTCTCACACTCATCGTAAGATAAAACAACTTCTCAACGTTGACCCCACTAACAAATTTCACTTGTTCCAATCTCAGATTTTCCTCACATCGACAAAATAGACATATAGAGTCATAAAATATAGGGAATCAATATTCAATATTATTATGTGGAATGTATGGAATCATCATGATCCACCAATTGAACTAGTTGGTATACTGACACTTCTCGAATGGTGATGTGCAATCTGAACTACGGCCTCATAGTACTATGAGGGAGAGTGGGCACTCAAGGAGTAGAAAGTGGTGATGAAGATTTCGAGTTACGTCAAATTTGAATCATCAAATCCTTTAAGAAACAGTCCTCTTCAGAAATTCTGTAACGCTTCTATCACAGGCTTGTTTGATGGCATGAAGTGAAGCATAGGTCACCTCATGCACGACAAGCTTGGAAAAACTGAAATGTAGAAGGTGTCGTTTATCAGCCCATGGGGCTGGACCACTCAGTTGTTTCTTCCTGGCATCCCAAGGTGGTGTGAGTATGTCGGCTTCCCCTTAAGATAACCAGATAACTGATAAAATCTCCTGCAGTCTGCTCTGGCCAGAATCCAATGGTCTAGAGCAAACTATGCTGACTAGGAAAGTTTTGGCGAGGGCAAAGATGTGAGTTTTCTCATAGGAAAGGTTGAACCTGCCAAAAACAGGCTTTAACATTCCATTCCGCACAATGAAATCAGCATCACTGAAACTCGAGCAACGTCCTCGAATATCGAATCACCTTCTGAAAAAGGGCCAAACATGGAGCCATGCTGTCGGCGTTCCATTGCAGGTGGAAGTTTTCAGATGGTGTAACGAATCGACCAACAGGTCAAACAAGGAGAACACTCCTTGATTCGAGTGGAATACTTCACCAACCCCTCACAGTGTCAACTGTCGTTGATTGAGAATTCACTACCAACTTTACATTTGTGCACTGCAAAATATCTGTTGGAATGAAAGAAAAAAACTGTGTATGAGTGAGTGTCCGCCTATCAATGAATGTTTCATCTTGTGGAATATGTTCATTGATCTTTCAACACAGAGTTATTTCTGTAAGTATGCATTCTTGATGATCTTATTATTTGAATGTTCATTAAGGATGCCTTGGAAACAAAATGAGAAATCAATACCAAGCGAATTCGAACGCTCTACATACTCTCCTTCTGAGAAAAAGGAATTGAATACAAAAAAAATTCTCAAGAGTGGTACAAAATAATTTTGTCAAGAGTCGAACTCATTATAGTAGGTGCTCGTACCACACGTTTCCTACAAGGGAGTCTAACATCGAGGAAGTCTCGATTGTGGAAGTTGAAGAATCGCTTCAAGTCAAAATCGATATGTCAAGTCCAGTTTTATTGAGATTACATGGACAAATATCATTCACAAACTTATCCAAATGTAATGAAAATACACATCAGGAGAAATATGATGCGTATGCTGATCAGACCCATTGTGATACTTTATTGGTAGAAGAACGGATGGAATAAAATCGATAATAGTGCCAAATATAAATGGCCGAAGATGTCAAGTATTCAAACTTTCAGGAAGAATTTGAATCTACAATTATTTCTCAGATGAAGATTACCTATCAATAATGGCCTTAACATTGGTACTGGCAAAATTTTTGCAAGAGTTCCTACAACAAAATTCAGGAGAAATGGTTCAATTCAACCGCAAGATTGTGTTTACTACCACACCACCTCAACAAATTTCACTTTGAATGACAATGTATCTAACAGAAACATCTGGATTAGATTCAAAATGTCTCTCGAAATCTTTGATATGCCACTCTCCAGCAGAAGAACCATTGGTATTATTCGAAGCATAATCTAGTCCTGGAGTTCGTCTCCTTACTGTACCCAACACATAGTTGAGAGCTTGATCTGCACTGGATTTTATCGAAGCATCTGAAAGAATTATATTTCGTCGCCAAACTTTTCCCCTTTTGTTGAAAACACCTCTTCCTCCAAGATTTTCACCAAAGACATTTCTCTGGTATGCCTCATGTAACCTTCCTTTCACCGTCTTGTAGTCTCCTTCAAGCCACTTGGTATCTTGATCTGAACTATTTCTGCTATCAGGTGGAAGCTCAATATCTTGAATCGTGAAGAGGTTGCCATATCACTCACCGGAAACCGGCGCTTTGGCATCACACATTAAACATAACCCCATGAAGCGTTTTTTTTCCGTATTTATAGTTGGTCGAGCGAAATTAACCATAACTGATACTTCAGATTAGTTCTTATTCCTTGTCTTTCGATGACAAACCCTAGATATCTGAGCGATTTTTTGAAAAACCCGCATTTTTTCAAGTATAATATGGTTGAATTCGCTTTTTTTTATATGGTTCTCCACCCATATGAAAAATTCACATCAAACGTGGCCGAAATGATCATGATATTATCCGAATAGCTGGAACGATTTGGTCCAAACTTGAGACAAACAACCAATCACTTTGTTTTGGTTGCATATAAACCCCTTTCAGGAATTCTTAAAGCTGTTCTCTCCTTGAAAGCCTCCTCAAGAAAAACCTGGCAAAAAGCTCCTCATTATGTCAGCACGTTAAGCTCACGACTGTCGGAACAGAACCTTCATTTTTCTGAAGTTTGCTTCACGAGTCGTACTGGACTGTTCCACGATAGTTTCACGGCACTCAACTTGATGTAATCATTTTAATCCTGGCTGAGAATCTTCAACATATAAGGAGACATTGAATATCGTCTTTATTTGAATAGTTCACATTCCCAGTGTCAATTTCCAAAGTAATCATTTTTGTACGACCTGACCGGACGTCAATAGTGATTTCCCCAAATGGGTCAATCGAAATTTTCATTTACTTCACCTGATCTGATCCATCTCTATATTCATCTACCTAACACAATTTTGATATCTTGCTGAAGTCTGAAGAGTAACCAACAATGTCGACAGTTTTGTCGAAAACTAGACATTCAACGTCCCAACAAAAATGTTGTTGAAATTTGAAGTAACCCCGAATTTCCTACAGAAATTGCTACCCCAAATGAATGATTGTGATGGAGAATGTACCATTTGTGCTGGCACGATCTGAATAGTATCATCAATATTGATAGGAAAATCCACTTCCATGATATGTTTCATTAGCTGTGAGAACATGGTTCAGAGGAGTACTCATGATTATCAAATCAAGATTTTCATTAACCTCCAAACCTCCTTGACCTATTACTGACAAATTGGCACCACTGTTCAGGAGTGCAATGACATCTCTACCTGAGAGTTGAACGCGTATATATGGCCTTTCATCGTTACCTTTCTCCACCAATGAGAGAGCCATAACATTCTGCAAAATTTCATTCCCTATGATTTC